GCTCCAAAAGGGCAGGAACTTTTCATTTTATTTCCAATGCCTAGCACAGTGCCCTTATTAGTGTCCATTCACGGGACTAATGGGGCATCACAGAATTAGACAAGCTAGTCAGTGCTAAAAGCAATAGGTCCATTTATTTGGTGTATTCAAGGGAAGGTCACATGGCTTAACTAAAGACACCTAATACAGCACCAAGGGAGAGATAAGGACAGCAAGGGAAGTTTACTGGAGCAGACTATTAATCCCCGATCCCAGGGCTGGAACTAACACATCCAGAAAACTGGGAAAGGGAAGAGAAGGGATACAGCCAATACTTGCCAGGGAATCTTGGGAATGCTTCTCTTTAGGCCACAGCAGGAGACAGGACAAAAATGGCATTATGGATTAATGGCTACTACCAGGATTGATGATTATAAGCTTTCACTGGGATTTCTCAGTCCATGGTTCAGAGTAGTTCATGGAGCTCAGGGCTCAGAGAAGCTCCTAGATCAAAGTCATTCAGGTATTCTATAGGAAGAACCTTGGTCAGCCAGGTCTACATTGTTTCTAAGCCTGAAGTCATAGGGAAACAACATAGGAAACTGGAAATTTCTAGAGTGATAGACTGCAGATATGTGAAAGTACAAATACAAAGGGCAGGACAAAAAGTAGGTGTGTGTGTATGTGTATGTATGAGGAAGGGATGTGGCATGGCTAGGGAAAACAGCCATTGGAAAAGAAAGATTAAATCCAGAAAAAAAATTTTCAAGACAATAGTCTTGTACATTGTTATTATTCAGTCGTTCAATTGTGTCCACCTCTTTGTGACCCTATGGACCTGTCCATGAGGTTTTCTTGGCAAAGATACTGGAGTGGTTTGCCATTTACCTCTCCAGTGTGTCCCCATTTTACAGATGAGGAACTGAGGCAAATAAAGGTTAAATGACTTGTCCAGAGTCACACAGCTAGCGTCTGAGGCCAGATTTGAACTCTCAGATCTTGCACATATGCCTAACAAATGCTCATAGGATTGGATTGGATTAGCACCTGGCTCATGGTCTTCCTTTCCACTTAATCCCCTACTACTATCCTTAGGGACTTCAATATTCACATCAACAACCCCTTTGACATGGACTATCTCAACCTCCTCAATTGCTTTCACTTCACCCCATTTTTGCCACATGCCAATTATGTTCCCACAATAGACCTCACAATCCCTTGTAATTTACACCTCTAACACTATTTCAGTGAACAGTGAAATTCCACTTTCCAATCACGATTCATCCACCTTGCACACTCACCCCTTTCTTCTTCACCCATATCATCACCTGATTCTCTTAGTCTAGCTTCCCTTTTTCCTATACATAGCCTTGATCACAGTCTGCCATTTTAATGGTTCACTAGCTACTATCCTCATGATCTTCCATTTTCAATCTGCCAATTACCACCATTAGATGTGTCTCTTCCTGCTACAGTACTCTTAAGCATCAACGGAAAGAATTGTGAAATTCAGCTGATTTCACCCACTAAAGATTTATGGTGCATAACCTCAGTTGCTTGACAATGCTACTCTATTTTACTGACATTTTATCTCATTAGCCATAATGACTGTTTTCATTCCTGTGTCTCCCAGTTTTCAATAGATGACCTAGTTTCTTACTTCACACACAAGATTGGGGCTGACTGAATTTCCCTGCTTATCCTCCTACTTTTCTTAAACCTTCACATCATCAACCCTCTCCCTGATAATCACAGAAGAGACATCCCCACTACTCATTAAGGCTAATCCTACTAGCTATGTCCTTAGTCCTATAACCCAGCCAAGGCCTGTGCAAACACAGGTCATGGGCATGGCACCCAACATGACACCTCTATTCCCTTCTCTCTGGGCTGGCTGATTCATTTCATCCTGCCCTCATGACAGCAGACCTGGGTTTTTTATTATTTTCCTCAGAGTAGGGAATCTGGCCCTGATTTGGACCAAGACCTACCCTTTTACAGGACCCTAGGGGTAACCCTAATGGAGGGCAATACTACTTACCACTATTGCACCTGAACACCCACAAGTGTGCTTCCCATTTACACAAAATCAGTCACCATGACACCACTCACTTTTAAATATGAAATATTTACTTAACAAAAAGACAAGACTAATTAGAAAGAAAAAGCAGGAATAATCACATTTAACTCAACAGAAGGCAAAAGCAGGAATAATCACCATCTTTGCTCACCAGGAGGCAAGAGCAGGATTAATCATGACATTTACTTAACATAAAGCAAAGTAGGATTAAAATATAATAGTAGGTTCATAAACCCAAGACTCACTCTTCCACCAATACACACAGTTATCTATGGGAGAGAGTGTGCTCACATTTACAGAAATCAGCAAGGAAGTACAGAGTTTGGAAATCCATGTGTCCAGGGCAAATTACAACTTTGGACACCAGGTCTTGGGGTCTTTGGTCTCCTTAGAGAACAATGTGCAATATACATCACATGCTAAGCAAAAGTATACTTCTCCACTATTCTCAGGCTACTAAGGCAATGACAAACTTTTAGCACGTAGTCACCTTGGGCAGGATGCTAATAAAGTGTTATGCTTGTTCAGTGATAAAGTTCCCTTAAGCTGAAGACTGCTGAAGTTGACAGATCTGCTTTGGCTTTCAGAGGAATTACTTCTTCTCAAGCTATAGATAATAGGGCCATGCAGCTTTTGCCCAGCCGGCTCTTCAAATATCAAGGGAGTTTGCTCTTGTACAAATCAGCTCTCAGGAAAGTCAAGCTGTTTCTCACAGCAAAGCAGATGCAAAGCCTGATTCCTTTTGTCCTCCTTCTAAGCCCAGTGGAGAAGAGGACAATCCCTCTCCCAGGCTAGAGATGGCACTACAGGGCCGATGTAACCTCTGACAGCTCTCCATAGAGCAGCAGGAGTAATCATCTCTCTTCCAATGGGCTCTAGGTGAAACAGTGCCTCCCTTCTGAGTCAGCCCAGCTTCCAGCAGAACAGCCGTGGACACTTCCTGTCCGCTTGCCAGCTGAGAGGCTTCTTCACATCAGCAGGTTTCCTAGCAACTTGTTTCTGTACTCGGCTCCCTTTTCATTTCCTGCTCTTCTACCAGCTTAGGAGTTTTTCATGCTTCAAATTATTGTCTTCTCATAAGCATGAACAATTCTCTCTGCCTTAGGATGTGAAAATCAAAAGAGCCACTTTTCTGTCAGGTATGACCCAGAAGGTTCCCAGTTTTTTGATTCACAATTTGTTATAATCACCAAAACATGAAAAAGTCACATGCAGATGAACTTATGGACCACAATGCCTTGCAGCCCCCATCACCTCAATCACTGTTCTGCCTTCAAACAGGTCTATACATCTATCTGAGAGACAGTTCCCATTCAGAGCCTCAGACGTCAGTTTCTGCAAAATTTTATCTGAAAGATTGTTTCTTTGAGTTGACCTGTTTTCCTAACATGCTATTTTTCTGTCCCTTTAAAGAAACAAACTTCCCTTACGAAAAGGATACTCTCACTAAGCTACAGGACCATGCTATAGCACCACCATGCCCACCCCTCACCCCTAGCTCTTTCCTACCTGCCCACAAACACATTGAGAGTTCCTCTAAAACTCTTATCTCTTCCATCCTCTACCCTACCCTTTCACTCATCTTGAGAAAGTTGTCTGTAACTGATTTAAGTCCTCACTATTCACTTTCTCCATCCCTTTCAGCCAAACTTTAGTTCATAATGTTTGAAACCTCTGGGTTCTCACTGATTCTTCCCTTTTTGGTACTCAAATCATCATGTCGGGTCCTGTTAATTCCACTTCCCCATTGTCTGTTGGATATATCCCCTCTTGTAAATTCTGCTAAAAGTCTTCAGTAGCTCCCTATTGCCATCCACACTTCTCTCCCTTGCAGCCAAGGTCCTCCACAACCTGAAGCCACTTTTCAGCCTTTTTTCTCATCTTATCTTTCTTCTTATCTCATCTTCTCATCTTTGGTCAAACAAGACAACTCCTTCCAGTAGCAGATGCTGTTTTCACACCTACCTGCCCATAGAGATGGAGGAAATCCCAAGCCACCTATAAACGCTCTCTTTCTCCATTACTTTTCTGATGTCTTCAGGAGGTAGTGACCCTTGTGAATAAAACTGACACTTAACTGAAACACAGTTTAATTTAATATTACTTATCTTTGTTGAGGTCTTAGCCCCCTACTAAATTCCAAGCTTCTTGAGGGCTGGGGGCAGTCTAAGGAGACTGCGAGACTCATCTAAGGTCTCTTTCTCTCTTCCCCAACATACAGCATATTGCTCTGCACACAGTAAGTGCCATGTTAAAGCTTTGCTTCTTTCAACTCCTCTTCAATTCCAGGTCTTCTATTTTATCAATTTCCCTGACACTAAAGCTCTTCTCACATTTATTGACACCCTGGAGATAGTCCAGGAAATTTCATGAACAGAAGCCTATAGCTCCATTCTCCTTAAGGAATCTTTTCTTTCTCATCTTTTCCATTTGTATGGCTTTGTGCCCCCAGATCTCTTCCCCAAACTCAGTTGTTGACTGTCTCCACTGTGGTGCTGGAGATGTTCAGTGCTTTCCCTAGTGGTGGGGTAGAGATAGAGACTGGGCTGAGTCACTGCTGAAAGAGACAGTATAGAAGTCATTATAATCAAAGTTGACCCTCAGGGCTGTCATAGATCATGCAGGGCACACGTAGGGGGAGTGAATCACTCATGTAGACTTCCCATATTATTTCAGAAGACTACTTAAGTAAAAGTATTTCCTGTCTTTACTTCTTAGAAAGTATATTCCTGTACTGTATATTTCTCCTTATTTTGATGTCAGAGGTGTGGGATTTTTGTTGAGACCATCCATCATCTTTTTCTGGAAGTCATCTGCAAACTTTAAGTCAATTTTTATGTTGAACTTTTCTCAGTGTTTTCATTATTTCAACTCTATCTTTTTATGAAACATTGAGACTACAGCTTACAATATATGAAAAATAAAGAAGGAACCATATAACTTAAGGTGACATAATTTAATAAATTATAACCAAAACATCAATCTCTGACTTACAAATAGAAACTCTCAGGTAGAGATCCTGAGAGTTTAAGGAGAGCTGTAGCAGTTCATTTAAACAAGAAACGCCCACTCTTGAAAACCAATCCTGGGAGAAGCAGCCAGGATACTGTTTTGTTTTGTTTTTTAATGTAATTTAATTCTCTCAGATTTCATTGCTTATATTTAATCACCACATCAGGCAAATATAAACAAAAGATTGAAAATTTTCAACTATAAAAACCTTCCTGAACCGAGATATTTTATACTCTAAAAATTCTATCAACCCCTTGAAAATGGGAGCTTTAAAAGAAAATAACAGTTTTATTATAGGTACTGAAAACTGCCATTTTACCCAAAACAATTTTAAAAAATAAGCCTAACTGCACTTTATTGGCAGTGTTTTAAATCTGTAAAGCAATTTCTCATGAGCACTTGAGTAGATAGATGACCATATGAAGTATATTGAAAACTCACTGACTTCAACACTTCTAAAAGATAAGCATCATAAGTAGATGAGCATCCTAGTGTTAGAGACTCTAATTCAATTTCTAAGAAAGCTTTTCAGCTCTTATTAGATTATTTTAGGAAATCTTAATAAGGAAATGTTGGTATAATAGCTTTCAGCCTGCTAACAAATGTATGATAGTTAATAACATAATGATGCATCTGTCAGTCACAGTGTTTCAAAAAAAGTGAATCCTACATAATCACTGCATATTCATTTCCAAAGCTTCAACAATATGTGCAGCCGAGGGACGATCTTTAGGATTCTCATTAGTGCAAACAGAAAACAGTTCAATCACTTTTTGATATGAATCATCCAATTCTTCCATATTAATGGCTGGCCTCGTTCCCAATGCTTCATAGTATGCTTCATCATCAAACAAGCTCTCGTCAAATGTTTTGTCTGCTCAATAAGGTTAGAGATATAAACAGTTAACGTAAGTAATTATGGGTAATTAGAAAGTCAGTTTAAGGTCAAAGAATCACAGAATTGTAAGGGATCTTAGTAGTTATGAAGTTCAATCCTTCATTTGACAGATGAGGAAATTATCTCTCAGAGGTGAAATAACTTCAAAAGACTGGCAATGGCAGATCTGGAACCAGAAAGTGCTTTGCAAACTGTAAAGTGTTGTAAAAACAGGTATTTACTATTACTAAATTAGGTCACTTGATTCTCAATTCTTTCCATTAGACTATATGAAATGCTTGTCAAGAAGTCTGAGACAAACTCGAGTGGAAAGAATACCACCAGTCATCTTAATTTAAAGGTTATAACTGTGCTATGCCAGCTCATACAAGGGACCATATTTTCATATCTTATGAATAGGAAACATTAACAGATGTCAACAAGAGCCTGCAGCAAAAATATTCTGAATTAGAAGTTTAAATCTGTTTTGGCAAAAGCCCTAAATTCTTGAATCATCAGGTCAGAGTATTTATCAAATAGGCGTTATAAGCATACTGGAATAATGGGTCTCTCTATACTTCAAATAGGATCCTTCTCTAGAAAAATCTTGATATATATCATCAAATTATCTGTATTTCCTTTTATTTATTATATCTGTGTGGTCTCAGACCATCCTTTCATTTGTTTCAGAAATATTGAAAAGATGCCTTAATAAGCTACTAAATCATATAATCAAATGTTTTTAAATATGTTAGCTAAGTGCAAATACATATTGAATATGAGTCAAGTTTGTATAAAGTCTACATATAATATTTGTGGCATTTTACAGACTACCCTTTAGTCTAAAGTAAGTAAACAAGATTAGAGTGTAAGACAGCAGCATACTTACATACCTTCATCATCATCCTCTGGAAGATTAATGTGTGGAATGGTTAGGGTCAACATCTCCCAAAGAGTTAGCCCAAAAGCAAATATGTCAGCTTTATCAGTAATAATACCACCCTCTTCCAGAGCTTCCTTTGGTTTCCAGGGTTCTGTGCCAATGTAATGTGCCTCAGGATCACTCACTGAATGGAATAAGTATGTTTAGTGATGGGATATTAGGTGTGTTAATTATTCACAGTTTCAATGCAAAATATATCAATGTCACTTCACTTACCAGATCATCTCCATTTTTTAAAGAAAATACTAACAGATATTCTCAGAAGCACTTAGTAAACATGATAAGAATCAGCAATTTGGAAATGTTTCAGCAGATGGCTAAATGTCATGACATTCGCAAATACAAGATTCAATCCCGTTCCTACAATTTAACAAGCTCAAGCTACAACTATCAATGTCCACACAGCAAAAAAAAAAATCCGAATTTCTTTAAATTAGTGAAGGAATGATCCAAAATCTAATAGCCTCTTAATAGCCAAATCAAAATCCTCTAGCCTTCTCATCCTGTGTGATATTTGTCTCCATTATCCCACCAATCCTCCAGAGGATCAACCCAATTCACTGGAGACCTTTCTCTTGCGGTTACTGAGTAACGTGAGGAATACCAATGTACTATCATCTAGCTTTCCCTTCTGCTGTCTCTAATTCTTGCTAAATCATCCACCACTTACCTTTTCTAGTCTTATATAGCCCTCAATAACATTTCAGTATGCACCACTGAGATTTTACTATTAAACAATTGTGTGCTGCATATTTTACAACATCAATCAACCAACAAGCAATAATTATTAAGCTAGGCAAAGTAGCAAGTGTTGAGGAAATATATATCTATGGTCTTCAACTAGGGAGTGATGGGGCAGAATGGCAATGAATTGCCTGGGGGCAATAGGACAGGTACGGTACAAACCCCTTTCAGGTGCCTCCTTTAAGGGCACTTCTGAAATATTAGTTTATGAGACTGTTCACAGTGACTCTTTAGAAGTTACTGTTTAGAACTTCTGTACTGCTTTTATTAAACTACTAATGGGTAGAAAATGGATACCTTAAAGGTAGAAATGACTATACTATTTTATACTCTCTGAGAAATAATTTGAATAAAAGGCTTCCATTTCCCTGTTCCTAAAATGAGAAGAGTGGTCGAGATGGTCTCTGAAGTCCCTTCTAGCTTTAGACCCATATAGATGCTGAAAACTCAACAAATATTGATGGATTAATTCACATCATATCTAAAACTTTCTAGTCATCTCCTCCCCAAGCTGTCTATCCTGTAAGTCATCCTCCCCCTCTCTCTCCAATTACAACCTTGCACTGTCCCTGTGTCCCTCAGCTCTAATGGAGAGCTTTTGTCTTATCTTGCTTGAGAACTCAGCCTCCATGCCACTTCCCAGCTAATTCCACCCCAGGCAGCCATATAATTCAACTCCCCTTTGTGTATTATCTTGCTTGCATATATGTCTCCTAGCATTTAGCACAGGGCCTGCACATAATAGGCACTTAATAAATGCTCTATCGAAATATTGTAGCTACTAACAGACACAAACCTTTAAAACTAACATTGCAAGGTAATGTCATAAAATGAATTACTCTTCTTTGCTGATATGCACTAGAACTTTATTAGGGTGCTTCCATAACCTGTTTTTGCTTACAAATCAAAAGCAGAATTATTTTGAAATTAGATATAATATTCAAATTCTTAGCTTATAGGAAAACTGCAAGGTTTTAGGCAGTAAGTAGCAAATAAATCTAGGCTAAGGTACTTTAAATACCCATAGGATGCTAAACACACACAAACGTATTGTCGTGTCTTCAAGGAATGCATATCCTAACCACACAACCCAATTCAAACCCTACAGAAGAGAATTACTTACCAGTCATATTTTCATCCAATGGCAGTGAGACTCCTACATCACAGATTTTAATTGCCTCAAAGTCACCTTTAATTACAACATTTGAAGACTTTATATCTCCATGGAGTAGCTTCTTTTCCTGGTGAAGATACTGAAAAAAATTGTATAATTAACACCCATAAGCAGGATGACAAAAAAGAGAATTGATGAAAGAATGGCAACACCACAGGTGCGGATAATGAACTACAGAGTTTCTGATATGGAAAAATGAGTTTTAATTCTTCCTAAAGGTGGAAACAGTACTATGTTAATAACTGTAACACAGTAACAGTATACATGATAATTTTAACAACTGTAACATAAGAAAAGCCACATTTGCCAGGAGCTTGAGGGTAAGGGAAAAAATTGGTAGATGTAGTTGGTCAAACACAATAATGATGACAATAAAAATAAGAGCAACAAAAACAATAATGTGCTTTATAAACATGATAACTCTTAAATCCTGCTTGTCTTAATGCCCCTGTTCTAAAGACCCCTAATTAAGTGATTTATCTGCTATTTATAATTAGAGTCACTATTTGGCATTGCTTAGTCATTTGAAGATCTATATTGAGATATCATAAATTTTAATATCTAGTACTAGCTAGCTGATAAGGAGAAAGTAACAGCTTTCCCTGTAATTACCATCTATACAGATCTTTCTGTGTAGAAAGATAAGAATGCAAACAAGGTTCAACACTGCTCAAAAAAATAAGGACTATCAACCTTCTAAGTACCTAACTGTTCTGGAAGATTGAGAGGAATTTAAGAGAGAGTAAATTGCATCTGACAACAAAAACTTTCATTCTCATTGGAGATGCAAGGCACGAACACGGAAATCAGGTGAATAATATAAAACAGCTTGTTACTAAGTACAAAAAGAAGGTAGTACAAACGGTATGTATTACAGAAATTTAGAGATGGACTAGCATCACCAGGGACTGTTTCATGGAATTCTGAAACATAGGTACGATTTGCAAAAATTAAAAAAGCAGTCCAAGCATAAACAAAGGCTTGGAGATATGAATGAGCATGACATATATAACATAAAAAGAATGGCTTGGCTGGAGCAATTCTATGCACACAGCAAGCACTTAATGTAATCACACAGTAAAGGAAGACCAAATAAAATCCACTTATTCATTAATAACAAATGAAGAGCAGGAAAAAAGGGTTTTATTACATTCAGCATAAGAAGAACCATATACTTAAAATGGTAATATCTGTTAGATCTTGCTCATATCTTGACTTAGGGAATGAGAATAGGAAGAAAAGGGAATAAGCATTTATTAAGCACTTATAGGCCAGCCACTGTGCTAAGTGCTTTACAAATATTATCCCATTTGATCTTCACAAAAACCATTCGAGGTAAGTGTTACTATTATCCCAATTTTGCAACTGGGGGAAATGAAGCAGACAGAGCCTAACTGATTTGCCCAGAGTCACCTACTTGGTAAATGTCTCAGGTCAGTTTTGAACTCAGGTCTTCCTGTTTGAGCCCCTACACCACCTATCTGTGTCAAATGGGGATGGTAACAATTATATTACCTACTTCACAAGGTTATTGTGAAGATCAAATCAGATAATTTTTAAAGCTATAAAGTGCTATACAAATGTACACTATTATAAATGTAGTAAGTATAATTAATTAATATAAGTGTAATTATTATATAATTCTCTCGTGATGGTTCCAACTAAAATGACCACATGCCTTTAGATCCTCTCTAATATGAAAATGAAGTCTGGTTAAAAGATGAAGTATTAACAATGAGAAATTTCATGTCTGAGTATATTTAACCTTAAAACCACCCCCCCCCCCCAATCCGCCTGATTCTTTGCTTTAAGGAAACCAAATAATAAATTTTTTTTCCACAGTGGGATTTTCGACAGGCTTTCCAATTTTTCCATAATGATTTAAAAGCCCAAGTTTGCTAGACTTTAGATCACATTGTAAGTCTAGATTTAGAATGCAGTTTAAAAAAAAGGAAAAAAGATCAAAAAGCCCCATCAACTTCAGCTATTTGATGTATTCAAAATAGCACACACGGTGATATAAGAATAGAGTAGTTAATTATCTAAAAATAGCAGTTGTACAAACTTAGTTTAACTATATTTAGACAATTATTTGAAGATAAAATTAAAGTCATAAATGGCATCTTTGCTCTCTACTCTCATATTTAGGAATTTTTACCAGCCTTAAAAACATACACCATTATCAGTGTGATAATCTACAATCCTTGGGATTGTACCTCATAATACTTTGTGCTTTGGCTAGACTTCGTTTTCATATTTGAGAGGCTTGTGGCTATCTTTGAAGAAGTCATTACAAGAAGCTAGAACTTCATGATAAACTATACCTATAATATGTAAGCCATTTGTAATTTGTATAAGCATAACATAAAAAGCATTTAATGCATATTTATCACATTGACTATGTAGGGGTACATAGCTACCCAAACTCCTTCTTTCTCCTTCACTCTCCAAAATATCATACAGACTTTGGATTATGAATATTAAAAACATTTAGGTACATAGTTTTTCAATCTTTCACTGTAATGAGTAATAAAATTCACACTAGTCAACAGAAAATCTGTAAAACTGGCGCCTGATTTCTATGCAATAATTCTTTATTTATAACTCACATAACACACATTTCATATCAAAAGCTGGCATTCCAAATTATGAAGCATATTACAACTTCTATCTGAGATTCAAAATTTACTTATGAAATTTATAATCTTGATAATGTTACTATGACCTCTGAGACATATTTTTACCCATTTACCATTAAAGAAACAAACGACACAAGATCACATGAATTAATAAGAGACTACTCAATCTAAATTAAATTTCTGGTAAATGTTTTAAATTCTCTTTGAATTCATAAAAATATGCCATGCACTTCATGTAGATGTTGTTACAACTATTGTTCTCTATGTGCTTAAATGTAAAGTATATACTATCAACTATACATGTATATTTGCTTTATATGTGTTCTATATAAAAGTAGTTTTAAATATGATGGCATTGACATACCTTTAACCCCCTTGCCATGTGCAAAGCAACTTTCAAAATTGTAGCAGCTGGGAAAGGAGAAGGGCAGTTGGAATTTCTTTCTTCTATTAAGTCATTGAGAGATTTTTCTCCTCCATATTCCATAGCAAGACACATACTGCCATCTTGGGCTTGAGCATATGCACGATAACCTTAAAGAAGGTGATATTTTCTTACCGGAGTAGGGAAAAATAATTAAGAGTTCTGCTTTTATGGCAACATGATTAAATCAATACTGGCAGCTATATAATAAAGCAAAGATATTTATGCAAATAATTACAAAACTGATTTAGCAATCTAAAGAAGCTTTCTACCACCACTACCCATCCCGCTCGCCAATGACTATCAGTAATACTAATGTAGTAAATCAATACTCTATGATAGAAACTCTGGGAAAAGAATTTTGGTACAGTGGATAGAGTATCAGGCCTGGACTGAAGAAGATCAAATACAGCCTTAGACACTTGCTAGCGACTCTGGGTAAGTCATTCAACCTCTATTTGCTTTGGTTCTTCATCTGCAAAATAGGACACACTGGAGAAGAAAACAGCCAACCACTCTAGTGTCTTTGCCAAGGAAACCCCATGGACTTTTGTCATGTAGAATTGGACACAATTAAACAACGAAAATTTAGCAAATGCATTTGGGAAAACTGGTTTGTAATATGAAGGGAAATGTATTTAGAAGGAACTTAAAAATTATTGCAAATGGCTATGAAGTCTTGGATAAGAAGCTGAAGAAGGTACAAAAATCACATCTTCCTCTAAGAATGGAATTTGAATTTCTGGACCACAGTTTAAAATACTGAGCTGAATAGATTCCTAGCCAAAGATGGAGTATATCTAGCAAAGACTGCTAAAATCAATCAACAAATACTTATTAAGTGATTTCTTTGTGTCATTTTTGTCACTAAATACTGGAATATAAAGAAAAATGGAAAAACAGTCCCTTGCCCTCAAGGAGCTTACATTCTAAAGCGGGAGATAACATGTATATGAATAGGTACATAAAAGAAACACAGATTGGATAGAAAATAATCATAGAGAAGGCACTAGCAGATAGTAGGTGGGGGACAATGACCTCCTACATAAGGAGTGTTTAAACTCATCCTTAAAGAAAGTCAGATATTCTGAGAGAGGAAAATGAGGAGTGAAAGCATTCCAGGGATGGGAAATAAGCATAGAAATAGGAATGGAGTATATGTGTGGGAACAACAAGACGACGGTAACAACTGAGTAGAAAGGAATAACACATAAGAAAGCTGGAAAGGTAGGAAGGGGCCAGGTTGTGAAGGATTTAAAATGCCAAACAAAGGGGTTTATATTTGACCCTATACATCTCAGGGACCTTGCAGGGAGTTGGGGCGGAGGGGGGACAGGAGAAAGAGAGGGGACATGGTCAGAATTGTGTTTTAGGAAAATCAAGTTAACAGCTATGTGGGGAATGGATTAGAGTAGGAGATGATAAAGGCGGGGAGACCAGTTATGAAGCTACTGTAATAGGTCAGGCAAGACTTGAACTAGACAGGTAGCTGTGTAAGTGGAAAGGAGGTATATTTTATCTCTCTGTCTATATATGTATATATATATAAAAAATACTATGAGGTAGAAATAAGATTTTATAATTATTTGGACATATGGGATAAATGAGCAAAGAGCTCAGGGAAACATCAAGATGGCACACTTGGATGACTGAGTGAATAGAGAAGTTCTCAATAGGGACTGGTTCTGGATATACATACTTATATGAGGAAATTCGGGAACCACCGAGGGGGAAGCATGATGGGGAATATTTAGGTGAAAGTCAATAGAGGTGATTCTGTCATTGGAGTATACTACATATCACTTAGACAGAAAGAAATAGTTGAAGAATTTGGGAAACATTAAAATCCAGGTACAGAAGTATGATATGCTTGTGATGAGAGACTGTGACTATCCAGACATCTACTGGAGCTTTCTACCACAACTGAAATAAACTATTGGTTTGTTTTAGTGATCAATTCATCTTTTAAAAGTATGAAATTTTAAAAGATGGAGGAATGAATAAAAGAAAATTCTACTTTTGGATCTGATTCACACTGACTGCTGAGATAACATGACGGGAATGAGATGACAGAAATGATGGGAACCTTGGGGTGAAGGGTGGCACAGAAGGTGCTCCACTGCCTTTCAGTTTGTTATACAGAAGAAGATATCTGGGTCAAATCTAACATGCATCCTACAAAAAGAGATTTCAGAGATTCAGAAATATGGGTAAAATCCCACAGACTACAATGCTATACGGGAAATCAGTCCAAGACGGAGAGGACATGCTCAAGAACAAAATTCCAATGAAAATGGAAAAATGGGATTTATCTAAAAAGATTGGTGTGGATGCACAGAATTCACCAAACCAATTTAGATTTTAAAAAGAAATGTACAAAGGTGGAGCCAAGACGGCAGAGTAACAGATATAAGCATAGTGATCTTCCTCCCAACTCTTCCAAAAAGGTCTGGAATACACCACATTGAATCTTTACTGGGAAATCCAAGAGAGAAAAAAAAAATCAATGAGTCACTTTACTAACCCAGGTCAGCAAAGGGAGACACAGGTATAAAAACTGGAGATAGGGTCTGACCAGCAGTACACCAGGCAGAGCATTCCAGGTCAAGGAGAAACTGTACACTAGGGTCAAAGAGGGCCAGGTTCAGTATACAGGGGCCTAAACTTGAGAAAGAGTGCTAACTAGCAGCTCTATTACTCACTTTCCAGTTCCTGGTCACAGATCCAGGAAGGACTAGGAAGGGAACTTGTGACCAGGAGTAATATTCCAGGCTAAGGAGTGATCTCTGGCCCTAAGTGGTACACCAAGCATGGAGCAAGTTGATAAGCAAATAGTAGCAGTGTGGCTCTGACCCAAGGAGTGGAGTGGAGTCTCTGTGCTAGTTTCCACCCAATTTGAAACCTGCAAAGAAACAAGGGCAAGAATACAACCCAAAGGGTAGCTGACAGTTCTGTCTTTCTGAACCAGTAAAGTTTTTCAAGCTGGCAGGTAGTGGCTAAGTCTACCACTAAGTCCAGTGGATGGAATTCTAAACAGGACAAGCCCATAGGTGTGTTGCTTAGACCCAAACCCAGATCAGGAACTTGCAGAACTCAAAGCAGGGGCACAGAGACAGGGTCTATGCAAGTGTAGACGGCTGCTAGACTCTGTTCCCTCAATTAGCTGAAAAGCTCTGTTGTTTGACAGTGGTAGAATTGTAGGCTCCCTTTTGGTCTAGGATTCCTGTCCTGGTTATTCCTCTGTAGGTTGGGCTAGATGCTGGGAATAAGACTCTGCTCTATGCGTGGGGTCTGAGCCACTCTGCTGCTTCTGGCTTCTGAACTTGCTCCTTTCTCAGTACCCCACCCAGGGACGTCCTATTCACAAATGTCACCCTGCTTCACTCTAGATCTGTGACCAAGAATTAGATAGTGGGTGAACAGTTTGTACCTGTCTCCTTTGTAGTACCCTTGTATAGGTCTGGTGGAGCTCCAGTCTGGACTCTTGCACTGGTACACAGTACACAGTCTCTCCCTGGATGCTGGAATGCTCCAAAATGCCATGTGCTCCTGATCCAACCTGCCCCCAGTGTTTGCATACCTGTCTGCCTCCCTCTGGCAAGCCGGGCTAGATAAATGATTCACTGTGACTTTCTCTGAACTTTTTCATTAGGTTTCGGTCTGGTCCATTTTCTAAAACTGTTTGGGTTACGGTTTTTTTGTTTTGTTTTGTTTTTTGCTAGGCAATGGTGTTAAGTGATTTGCCCAGGGTCACACAGCTAGTGTCAAGTACCTGAGGCTGGATTTGAACTCAGGTCCTCCTGACTCCAGAGCCTGTGCTCTATCCACTGTGCCACCTAGCTGCCCCCTGGAATGGTTTGTGGAAAGAAGCTAACTGCTTTTTATCACTCTGCCTCCATCAAAGACCTTTTAAAATTTATAGCAGCATGCTCATTCACTATGACCAAAGTTTCTTATCCCATTCACAGTCTCATATTGAGAGATGTGTGTCTCCTCTGAGACACCTCTGAGAATTCCTATCATTAGAGGTTGCAGAGGGAGTTAGAGAACTCTCCGTCTTCTTAAACTGTCTTGGCTGGAAAAATTACTGTGACTTTTCTTGGCTTTCCTGATCCAAAATTCAGTTTGACATATTTTCTAGGTTGTTGGTGTGTGTGTGTGTGTGTGTGTGTGTGTGTGTGTGTGTGTGTGTGTG